TCCTTGATTTCCTTGGAGTGCCCTAATTCTTCATCATTCCTTTAAACAAACAGTTTACAGTATTTCTTCTCTTACAGAGCTGTCAGTTTTCCAGCAATGTAGTGGACACCCCCCCCCGATTCTGGACAGCAGGCTTGATTTTCCTACTTACAGTTCAATCAGACCTTCGGCAACCTGAGTGTAACAAGCTAAAAATCCTTGCTCTCTATAGTCTCAACAGCTTCATCTTCTCAGTATTTACTTCCCTGGGTTTGGCAAAACAGTCTAGAATCTGTGGGAGATTGTGAATGCTGGTAACAGCAGAGCATGTACTGTTTAGAGGCAGAGTGACAGTACAAAGATAACACAGGCTATTTACCATGCACATAAACCATTCTGCACTAGTTCTTGTGCCTATACTTTTAGCTATCAGATTCATGTAATATATAGCCTACTTATTTTATCGCTGACTTACTTTGATAAAATGTGTTTTTTTTTTTTTCTCTTTGCTACCCTTTGTTCCTGGCCTATCTAAGCGGAGGACATTTTGACAGTTAAGTGTGTCTAAAATCAAACTGCACAACTGTAAAAATGTCACCAAAACTACAGACACCTTGAGTTCTTCTTCACTTAGGAGTCTGGCAAAACTGGTCTCTAACTTTAGCAACTGAATGAATCATCACATTTAGAAAGCAGAATTAAAAAAAAAAGCTGGGGAGAAATGCCTGCCATAAATACAACTGCCACCCAAATCATTGAAGCTGAATTTAGTTTACTTGAGGGCTTAAAGGCAAAATCTGTTCCACTGCAGACAGAGATTTTTTCCTCTCACACAGTGGTCAAAACAGTCTGAAACTGCAAGCATACATTGTTCTGGTGTGAGTCTGTGCATGCGTGTATGTGTGTGTTAGTTTTAACCTTTGCTACAAAATGTTCTAACCATCAAGCAACTCATCATTGTACTCTGCATCTGCCCACAAGGAAATCGGCCTTCTAATGAGAAGTGACATTAGAGACACTCTTGCATGATTGATGCAGTAATGCTTCTTTGGCAACATCACTTACACTGAGGCAACTGTTCTTGTATGCTCAAAAAAGCATACAATTCCAGACTATAGTGACTTCAGTAACCATAGAGAATTTAAATGCAAGGGGAAATTTGGTGTAAATTAATCCATTTTTAAAGTTTCTTTCTGTTGTAGATTGTAAAATACAGCCACTCATTTCCCCTCACACAGCTCATGATCTTTATGTATTCACATTAGTGAATACAGTTCTTATATGGCTCTTAAGGTACTAGTGTTAATGAGTGTTAACACCCCATTTCATACATCATGAGGGTAAGCAAAGTGAGTAAGATGATATAAAACACTTCTGCACATGAGAGGAAATTAATACACAAAGGAAGAGTTGAAGTGAATTGCATACTTCAGGGTGTATCTGCATAATTCAGGGTGTATCTACACTGTATGGCTAGCCCTGCTGAGAAATCATATTTCAATTGGTGGCATGAGGAACTCTGTTTTTCCATTACCTGAGCTAGCTTTATCACACCGTGCACATACCTTCCATGTCTCAGCTCTCCAGCCATACATGGGAACAAAAAAAGACCTTTGTCACTAATAAAAGATCTCTTTTGCCACAGTTGCCACTTCATTTACACACTGCAAGCTCCTCCGTGCAGCTTATGGCAGCCAACACATTTTTGCTCAATATTATATCCCTAAGTATTACTGACATTAAATGTAATTTAGAGCTAACCAGAGCTGCACAAAAGTGAAGCTAGCAACAGCATTTTCCACTACAAAAAGCAACTGCTTTCTCCTTTTCAAACAACTCTTATGAGACAAGCCCTGTGGCACTGGACAAAGACAGGCCTTTGAATTGATCATCTCTAGGTAGCTCTTCTTATTCATCTGATCAGCTGTACTACATCTTTCTGCACTCTGCACAAGAAGAAAGGTATTACTTTACACAAGGGAAGAAAAGTTTAAAAATAACAGACAGTAAAGATATTTGGACACCTAGCATTAATTCTCAAATGCTTTAACCATATTCATAGCCTGACAGACATGAGACCAATCAGGTAGGCAGCAAAGAAAGAAACAGAGATAAACTTCTGCATTTACAATCTAGAACATTACCTTGTCCAGTGTATTCAAAAGAATCTGCTTCATCAGGAGTGTCAAGGTCATCTACATTGATGTCAATTTCATCTGGTGTATCCAAATTATCATCAGAAAGTATAGACCCTTCACTCTGGTCCAAAGAGAGATTGATATTTGGAGCAGTAAGCTTTATCCTTCTGGGATGGGAACCGTTTAGATCAAGAGAATTGGGAGGTTCTGAAAAAAGGGAGACAAAAAGACCTTTATCTTCTCTGCATATGATTAATCTCCTAGATACTTAAGTCTCACCTTCAAACATACTGGGACAATTCAATTTTAGTGACACCAAGCCATTTAAGACAACCTAAGATAAACCACCGATACCTGCGTTAATGTTTAAGGAAATAAAACAAGCATGTACAGGAACAGCAGATGCTGCTGGGAGCTCTTAAATGATGCAAAGTCCACATTCACTTAATTGCAGTCATCAGAGGCAAATCAAGCCTTGGACATGCTCTAACCTTCAATTTTTATGAATTTAAAGAGCAATACACAAATCACTTAAGTTACAAACTAAGACTGATGAATCTTGGAAAAATTCATATGAGCAAAAATGTCCTGTAAATATTTATTCTCTTATGCACTTGGTGATATTCAAATGGTGCTGATTTGCAAGTAGCTATGTCTTTAGTTTTAACTATACAACATCTTATTCAATACAGTAACAGAAAAAAAATTATCTTAATTAGTCTTAATTAAAAGTAGTCTACAAGAATACAAAAGCTACGTATGGCTTTGTCCCTTGCAAAGTATTCTGTGGCACTTTTCAAGCTGCTTTGTCTCGAGTATTTCAATGCTAATGTAGTTCACTTAGGCAGTAGTCAGCTAATATGAACCAAAATAAGTTAATATTTTAAGTTAGAAGAGACTACTTAAAATTCACAAGGGTTAAATGAGTGATGACAACTATACACAAAACAAAATGGTACATGAAATTATAATTTCCCAGTGAAGAAGGAAATTGACTAAAAAAACTTCTTTTTAACACTGAACTGATTCTTTACCAACACAGAAACACCTTTCTCACTGCATAATTAAATGTCAAGAGAATCAGATATAACTAAGGAAATTAGTAAGGGCTTCTCTCACCTGGTCTCATCTCTGCAGAACTGGGGCTTAGTACACTCTCATCATAGGGGATGTCCATTCCCACATCCTCTTGTACCAGCCTGAGAGGTGAAATACAAAGCAAAATCTTAAGGATCTGTACAGATGTACAGGTTGACCTTGCTACTGATACAGCTTATGTGATCTCAGATGGAACTGCAGTTTTCCTCAGCGTAACCAGTTCAAAATTCTGATCACAGATTGATGTGACAAACAAACACAACTCTTGTGATTCTGCTGTGCCATTCCTACCCACTTTTTACACACATGTCTGTAGAACCTTCAGAGACTATAGGTCACTTTTACTGGGATTATGACACAGCACTGAATAATAACAGGCTGGCAAACAGCAACATTTCTCACTTTATACAGAAGAAATTGGTCTTTTGTCATCTGGCAAACCAGACACATCATTGCAGGGAGCTTCAGATGCACTGCACGTCACAGTTAAGAGTCCCATAACAGTATTCTCATTGCTGTACATACAGTTACTGTATAGCAAGAATCAGATGTGTGAGGTTTTTTGTTTAATACAGTTTGTACTTCAGAGAAATTGTGATCCAAATCAGACATTTTGAAATACTGAAACAATGGATGTCCTGCACTGAAAGAGCACTAACATGAGAACCAAATGTACATAACAGATTTTCAAGGACTAATATTTTGTAAGATACACTACCTATACTTCATTTTTTGAAAGATACTAAGAAATTACATTTAATACACCAACATGAAACAAATGAAAGGCATTAAGTGGTATAAATAGTAACAAAGGTGTACCACAGTAGGAACTGTTTTCATGTCTATTTTCTACCCAAGTATTTTACAAAATTCTTGCTGGGAGGATGGCTCAGCTGCAGAAAGGAAACAACATTTGACATTGCCAAGGCACTGTTGACAGCTTCTAAACTATTCACACTAAAAATGTATGACTCAAAAAAACCTTCATTTATTTTATCAAAATAATTACAGCAATTTTTTTCTATATTCCTGTTCCAAAATCTATTTTAAAAAAAGAAATCTTATTTTTTTTTCCCCACAGAAGTTGAAGAACAGGCAATTTTTACACTTTGATTAACAGAGCTATGATGAAGTCAAATAACGTTCTTTCCTTGTCACAGTATCAGCTAGCTCTGTTCTGAATTATTCAGCTGAACATGTCTGAATAAGCTAGGCTTGTCACTCCTGTAGTTTCTTCCTACCCTGAAAAACTCATGAGGGCTACCCTCATTATTTTACCATTTGCAGACAAGACTCTTCTCGCCAATCATTGCATCACACTATGAGTATATTTTTTGTGATTTCTTGTTGATATCACAGAGATTATATATAAATGTGTGCATGTAGGCCTGCCTGTAAGTGAGCCAAAGACTTCACTGTGCTTAGAGCTGCAAAAGATTTTTAACTCAAGCCCTATACCATCAAATTTGCAATGCAGACAGGCAAACTAGTGAACCCCCACTTTTCCCATAAGATCATAGAGAATATAGACAAATAAAGCTAGGGTCAAACATGGCTGTGCTGCTTAACTCATGACCAGGCCTTTTCTCTCAATAAAAAGACACATTAGTCCTATGAATTTTACTAGATTTATCCCCACATACTGTAGAGTACTTTTTTAACAAACACAAAGATTTCAACAAAACATGTTAATTCCAGAATATGTTTAACTGCTGTCAAATAAGGCTTGAAATATAAATAAAGTCTCCTGCTCATGAATAAAATGAATGCCATAAAGTTTCTGTAATGTACCATTTCCTTTTTTTCTGCTCTGTAGCATCCTCTGTGTTCAGAAGCTGTACAGAAAAATGATACACTGAACACCATCACAATTTACTTAGAAAATGTAAAGAAGTCATTAGAATATTTGGCTTCCTTGGGTGTTCATTCAATTCATAGCAAAATATGTGTAATTAAGTCTAATTTATTAATCTGAATTTAGCAGAGACAAATCTGAATTCTAACAAAGTGCTGTAAGTAAAACCTGGATAATATAAGAAACCATAGTGGTGGAAACAGTGTGGGGACAAAAGGAAGATTTCTATCGCTCTTTAAATTCATATCAAGATATTATTTGAGGCTTTATTACTCTTTCCAAATATAAAAGTATGATAAATTCTTGGATTAAAGCTCAGCACTAGTCAGATGATGACTTATGGGTACTCAAGGGTGTAGAGCTTGGAAGGGTTTTGATACTAACATAAACTATTAATTTATAAAATATCTTGCAGGCTTATCACATCAAATGACAATTGTCTACTGAACAAGCTTCAGAAATCACTGCAGGAAATTATTTGCAAGGAAATGGTCTTCTTTCAAGTCGTGTCAAGAGTCAGCTACAAGAATCTTCAGGCTTTCTGTATTAAAGAGACACTATTCTCTGCATTAAGCCTGTAAAAATGTTTGAGCAGAATGAAGATCACCTCCTCCTCTGTATGACAAGAGCATGACTGAGTTTTATATACTTTATCCCTGCAGATACAGTAACAGTTACCTCTGAAAAAAAAAAAAACACAATTTCCACCAAGCAATTAATACAGAATTTTGAGAGTTGCCTAAAATTTTTGCTGTGCCTGGAATAGAATTATTCTAAGCCATGACATTTCTAGAATTGCTTCAAGACTGCTCTTATTCCTGTGGTGTCTTTATAATTTTTTTTAAAAAAATGTGTATGTACTTGGAATTGTCATTGCCGCTTTCCCTAGAATCGCTTACATTTTCACAACATAAATTTCAAATGTTCTTCTGCTTTCCATGGAACTACTACTGCTGAATTAAACCAGAATTTTATATTACTATTGTGTTTACAAGTAATGGTACATTTCTAAGGCACTGAAAGATAAATGTGTTTCATATTCATTTATTGAAATCTCTACTGAAATCCAGCTATTGCTACAGGCAATATACTCAAAAAATACCCCCTCACCTAGGGATTACAAGTGAACAGCACATGAATTTGTCTGAGAATCTCTAACTTCATTTTGATGGCACAATGTTTTTAATGTCAAGAATCCATATCGTTCATATCGGAATATTGTATTTGGGAAGCAAGAGTCTGCAGTTCTGAAAGATCTGGGACAAGGCAGGCAGTTAAAAGTCAGTTCAAGCGCAGTTACCAAAAGCATTGCTGTCACAAGGTTACCCACTGTATTTTCAATCACATAAAAGATGGTATCACCTTTCAGAATTTTTTTTTTTTTTTAGCTGAGATTAGATTTTAAATTGTGTCAGGTTCTCATTTACTGTCATACAAAGAGTCAACAGGGTTTTTGGAGAAGAGAGAGTCTGATTCTGAAGTTAGTCATAATTTTACAGATCTCTTGTGCTTTACCCAAATAGATTACAGATTCCTTGCCAGACATACATCCTCTATGTTCAGTGAAAGTTAGTATTTTTTAAAAGCCATGGTTCATATTTGTTTGGTCATAAATTAATAAGCAATACAGGCATCTTTCAAATATGGTGAGTTTAGAAAGCCAGCCACAGAGCTTCTGCCACATTGTACCTCAATGTATGGCTCCAGACTCGTCATCAGTATGAGAGTAAGCAAGAAATGGACAAAACTTGCTTTCTGCAGAAATAGCTTCCCATTTTCTGATTTTGAGAGTATGCTATGTTAAGCAGCTCAACAGCTTGCAGAGTAATTTTTGGTTGTGCACAAGCTCTCAATAGATCTTAGCAGGATCCCTAGTAATGGAAGATGCGACTTCAGAAACTTAAATTAAGAAACTATCTCCTCTTCCTTTCCTATGGACTACTTCACATACTTCCAAAGTTCTGGTTTACAAAATTCCTTGCCCTCTGTACAATGTAACTGATGCCATGGATTATGTGGTGAAAAGTACCAGTTACTTTTAAAGAATGCTTATTATTGAAGAAGTAAATTAGCCTACTTTAGAAAGCTCCATTCTGATTGGGTATGATTTACTGGATTGATTAAAAAAAATTATCTTTCATTGGGAACAAAGGTCAAAGTCAAGTATGCTTTTTGTGTCATAAATGACTTCTTTAATGTGGTAAACACACAAATCATTTAAGGATCAGCTGCACAGGTTACTGCATATTTGCTTTGATAATTCAGGTCTACATACTTGTACAGAAGTAGCTAAACCCTCTGTGTTTCTCAAAGTTGGATCAGAGACAGATACCAAATTCTTATAAAAGGAGGAGAGAGAGAGAGGCTGGAGGCTGAAATCCTTTCCTTGCTTTTTCTTGGTTCAGACATTCTTACAGCTCAATAAATTAATACTCTTTAAATAATTCTTAGAGCCCTCTCAAATTCGAGTGTTTCTCAGATTAAAAGTTATTTTTTCTGACTTTTCTAGGTTCAGTAGCACTCTGCTGTTCTGGAAAGAGCAGCTCTACATATTCATAGCAGCATGTCATAATCCCTATGGGCTGTGCTGCCTCACCCTTGTGTTATATGTGATACATTACCCGTTTCCCAAGCTGCTCTGAAGCTATTACATATCAAGATGTTAATTTCTTGAGCCTAAATAAAATATTCCCCAATAGGTTGCTCTGCATGAATACCTACAACTGGCAAAAGAGAGCAAAATGAATCCAACAATGACTGTCACCTCCCTAAAGCGTCTCCCTCCACTCCAACCTGCCACAACTTGCTCACCATCTGGACTTAAAATTGTATGTATTTTCCAGGTTTCTGAACTCACCAATGCCAAAGTTTAATCTAAAGTGCGGCCCACAACTGCCACCAAACACTTTTCCTAGATAAGTAAATCATGTTTCTTTCATGCCGTTCTCTCTATGCACAGAAATACTTTTATACTTAAATTTTCACAGGATGTTGAAGTTTTTTTACAAGGTTTCAAAGCACAATTAGTGAAAGAAATGACGTGGATGAAATTATCTCAGCTCATATTAATACATGCTTATTTTGGAAGCTGAATGGGAGGAGGGGAGATGAAGTGTAATGAGAAGGCTATTCAGAAACTAGACATCTCACTTTTTTCATGATCTCAAATTCCACGTATGACACAGGCACACCCTTATCTTGAATGAAATAAAAATCCTGCTTATAGCCCACTGTTTCACTGGTTTG